CTCCCGCTCCTTGCAGGGTAGGGAGGTCAGCGGCGAGGGCAGATCTGGCCCTGCCCGAGTCACCTCCCCGGAGCCCACTGCTGCTCCTGCACGATGTCCTGGCTGTACCCCAAGGGAAACGGAGACCCAGGGGCTGAGACTGGCACTGAAACCCTGCAGGAAGCCTGTGGTAGCGCTGGAGAGCGGTCCCCATCCATCTCCCCCGGACCAGCTGCCTCCGGACCCTGCTGGCTGAGGGTTCCATCCCACCCTCCAGCTTTCTGGCTCTCTGTGTGCAGGGGGAGCGTCCACCCGGCTTGGTCTGGGCCACCAGCCACGGAGAGAGCTGTGATTAGAAACTTCCCTCTGCTCCAAGCAGGCTGCGGGTGGTGAGGATGGCAAGGGGGTCTCGTTTCGGATGGAAGGGGCGGTGGGAAGGCAGGGCTCACTGCTTCCCTGCCTGCCAGGGCACCAAGGAAGCCCTCCCGGAGCTGCAGCGGTCCAAGCCCTCTCCCCAGACCGTGGTTTCTTGCCAAGTTTGGCTCGGTGGGAGCCAAAGGTGGGTGTGCACCAGGGGAGCAGGGGCGATGCGAGGCCCGATCCGTGTCACGGCAGGGGCTCCTAGTGCCGGTCAGAATCCCGGTGCCAGCGGAGCCGTGGCAGCAACACCACCTCTCGGTCCCAGCTGCTCCCCTCCGTGCCCAGAGCGTGGCCCTTTGCAGAGTCCAGCCCCTACCCTATTCTAAATAAAGCAAAGATACAAAGCGTAGAAATAATTCTGGGGAGAGGAAGATGGGGGGGCTCTTTCATTTTATTTGATGTGGCCCAATTTCAGTGCCTGTGGCTCTGTCTCCTGCTCTTGGCTAGTCTATCAGTCATTGTCCCCGCCTGAGAGGGTCACGTCTGGGCAGATCTCAGGGGAGGAACTGTCTGCATGTCTGAATGCAGCACAACCCCAGGCCCTAGCAACCATCCTCCCGCTGCGAAGGCTTCCCTGCCAGCGCAGCCCCCGGCTGCTTCCTCCCCATGCTTAAGGAAAATTAGATAAATGAGCCATCAAGGCAGTCGGAGCAGCTTTTAATGGGACGGGCGAAGGCTGGAACAAGTCCCGCTGCATCCTGGCCCTGGGGGAATTGCTTCTCCCTTGCACCTTTCCACCCACCTTTTGGTGACGGTGCTGCTGGAGCCAAATCCCTGCTGGTTAATGGTGCTGCTCTGGGCTCCGGTTTCCCCAGCTGGTTGCTAAAGGGGAATTTCCTCATTTTTTTTTTTTTTGCAAAAGGGCTTTTACTGTGTCTGCAGTTGGGTACTTGGGAATCAGGAGGAGGGCTGTGGGGATTAGCCCTGTTAACACCGGGCAGAGGGCTGCTGTCTCCTCGTGGCCCTTAGCGAGAGGGAATTAAGACCATTACAAGGCTATCAAATAGGATCAGAGCCCCTCTCCCTTTCTCTGAGCAGCCCACACCTCCTAATCCTTTTTCACGCAGCTGGACCAGCACCCACTATGTGGTGGGGAAGAGCTTGGCCAAGGGGCTGCGGACCCCGTCCCCCCCCTGCCCCCGCAGTGCTTTATCAGTGCCGGATCAGCCCGGGTGCCATCCCGGCGCCGAGGGGAGGAAGGGCCAGGAACAGGCACCCAGCCGGGCTGTGATGGGGTGAGCACGAGGTCCCCTCCTCGAGCGGGACAGGGCCAGGCTGCGGGGCTTGTTCAAGTGCAATAACACGTCGGGGGCTCTGCTGCTCGCCCCCCTGCCCAAAGGCAGCTGCCCTCGTCCATGGGACCCCCTGCCCTGCTCGGGCGGCTTCAGGGCCACGAAGTGCAAACAAAGCAGCAGCTTTCAGCGTGGCAAATGGACTCTGGGTTAGCTTATTTATTTCTATCACAGCCAACAGCCGAGGCTGCTGGGCCTGAGGATTTCACACGAAGCAGAGGGATGAGGAGCTCCGAGCCAGCTGGCCAGAGCAGCGACCCTACAAAAATACACTCACCCTCAGCCAGTGGAGGCAAACGCTAGGCAGAGCAAACCCCACCTCTGTGCTGGCGAGCCACGCTGCTGCTCC